CATGTTCCCTCCCTGGTGGAGGCGCGGGTCTCACGGAGGCTGTGGCGTTCTGCCACCGCGACAGCCGTGAGGGGTGCGCGGTGTTGCTGCCGTTCTCGCTTCGCGCAGTGCGGTTGTGGTGGACGGGGTCGATTTCGTTGAGCGGGCAGCGTACTGCTGTTGTTCCTGGCACCTTTGTGTAACCGTTGGATGTTTCTTGGATTTATCCATATTTTTCGGAGTCACGTTGTGATGGGTCGCACAGGACATCATCGGCGTGTGCCTGTTTGTTACGGTCTAGCGTGAACCGTATCCAATAACTACGGAAAATTCACAGCCTCCCTTGGCAGTCTTTTCCTGGTGCTTCACTTTTTTATCATTAGAAAGGTTTTTTTTATCATTGGAAAGTTTTTTTGCCTAGTTTCTCACCTTAAATTCTCCTCCCATGGCATGAGCGGGATACTTGATTGTTGTCACTAGCATAATTCAATACAACGCTCCCAATACTTGTGTCACTCTGCTTTATGCTGTCATCACGCACTTGTGTAACACCTTAAACATCTGAGTGCGTTTATGTACCTGCAGAAGGTGGCAGGAAGGCTTCAGACAGCCGTATCGCGCGGTGCTTGTTTTCCAGCTGATTATGTTTGGCATGGCTGGGGGGAAATGCCCAAATATATCTACGTCTCTGTGTTTGAAGTGACTTCGGCATGATCTGTAGCCAGTGGACTCCTACGTGCTTCATCTTTCCAAAGCATCAACAAAAAAATCTCGCCAGTTTTCAATTAGATACGTTGTTATGGAAATGAACCATCACGTTTTACATTGTCTACACTGTTCTGTTTCTCTTAATCTGTGTTACAGCGTAGACAGAAATACTAGAATTGCTGAATATAACACATTTGGCTTTGTATCTTTGTAGTTACCCCGATGGGTTCAAGCAGCAATCGGCCTCAAGAAATTGAAGAGGGAGAAGCTGGGTTTGCTTTGTTGTTTCCCAAAATCGATGGGGTGAAAATCCACACCTTCCATTTTTCTAAAGACTCAAAGAACAGGGTCTTTGATGAAAGTAAATTTGCCGACGCAGGTATGTCCTTGTTCTCCCCTTTATTTGGGCTTTTGTGAATGTTGTGTTGCTCTTCTGGGCACCGGCGTGGAATTGTGTGTGGAACCGAGGGCTGCTGGGCTGGCTCTGTTCGCAGAGCACTCTGTGGCTCTGCAGGGCTGCAGCTGGTAATTCTGCATCTCTGTTCTTCCCATTCTCGGGAGTATTTTAAGTTCCCCTGAGTTTTGATCTCAGGTTATCTCAGTTAGGTTTTAAGTGAAGCTGTTAGAGGGAGCTGTCAGGTTTTAAGTGACCTCTAATTGGTTAAAGATAATGATAAATGAGTTTGTACTGTTGGGAGTGGTTCCGGTTGTAACAGTTTAGAAATGAGAGCTGCTTCTCTTCTCCAAAATAACTTTGCATTTAGATCCTAAGTCAGGTGGTGTAGCAAGGAGAGGTAGAATGGAAGACAGCGTATTTCAATAAATACAGTTTACGTTCCGCACGTTGCGTCCGTGGTAGGGTAGGTCTTTTATGAAGTGTAACATAATGAGGATTTCTTGAGTCTTCTAGGAACCTGGGAGTTTCTGCCGTGGGATAAGCAACTGGCTGATGTACATAATGTATTTAATTTTCAGGTAACGCTATTTGCTGCATTGTGGTTCTTGTTGAATAACCGATATGCACAGTTCTTACCTGTAACAGGACGATTAAGGCCGCGAAGTAAAACTGAAGAGCTGTGCCTTAAGAGGCTGTGGTAAACTCGAGTGCTCTGCTAAGGAAGTTGAAAGCCAAAAGAAGCAGATGCGGTTGTCTTTTCCTTGCTTAGGTTCTTTTCAGAAATTCCCGCTTACGTGAGGAATGCAGCCCAGCTCGTGAATGCCTGGGCCAAGTGTGTCTTGTTTTCCCAGTGGCAGCAATGGAAAGCCGTAGCTGAAGGTGTGATGTGTTATTTGAGGAGAGGCTCAGATGGTTGGACTTCAGGGGTTAGGATTTAAAAATGAAAGAGGACTGGTGCTTGTGTGTTTGTGTGTAGGTCTGAAGAACAACCCAGATCTCCGGGTGGTTCTGCTGTTTGGCTACAATTCCTGGAAGGCTGGAGCGACTCGATTTCTTCATCAAATAGTCAATCCCTTGAATGAGAAAAGTATCATCCTGGCTGGGGGACAAGTGGAGAGCTTCACATCACTGACCTCTGAGAAGTAGGTATCTTTTTCAAGGTAAATTGTAAAGGAGATTTAAAATAGGAGAAACACTGCGGAAGCCATAGCCTGTTAGTTTTGTCATAATTAGAGATGCCAGTTAACAGCAGCAGAATGACAGGGTTTTTGAAAGAGAAGAAAGTCCAACTGCTACGCTGTAATCTAGCGAGAAAAGCTGGAAGCTTTGTACTCCTGTGTTACAAATTGGATTCTGGAAACCCAGCTGGGAGAAACCCGCTGCAGGAGATTTTCAGCTTCAGATACCCTCCGTGTGCTTATTGCAGTCTGTGTTTGCTCTCTGGCTGGCAGATAAATTACCACTCATGGTGACAGAGACCGTTTACGTGAGCATTTCGTTTCTGGATAAGCCCCGTTTCGGCTCGCGTTACAGAGCAGTAGCTGAACACGCAAACAGGACTGTGCCCCAGGAGCACAGCTAGTATGCTGCCGAAGGACAAGGCGCTCGCAGGACCTGGCCAGATCTCGCCCAGCTTAAACCCCTTCGCTGTGTGGGATCCTTGCGGGGCAGATTCGGGCTGCAGGCGCTCCGGCTGCTTTGCGGTGCAGGTAGAGGCCTTTGTGCTGTCCAACGCACCAGTGCAGCCTCGCTGGAGCTCCTGGGCTGGGCTGTGCGGTGCAGGCCTTGCTGCTGGCTCCTCTCGTGCCAGCAGAGGTCTGGGCTCCGCAGTTATACCAGCATCTCTCTTGCGTCTGATTTATGCCAGCTGCATCATTACTCCGGATAAGAGAGCTGACCATATGTTAAATTATTGCTAGTAAAGTCTAGGCGGGTAACTGTTACAACCAGCGTGTCCTGGCCAACCAGGGAGGCTTAAAGCAGCATGAATCTGAAGCCATTACTGACTGCCGCCCTGGTTTGATCTGTAAACACGGAGCATCTTTGCTTGTCTGAAGTTAACTAACAGCTTAGTTGGAATTAGAGCTGTGATGTACACAAACTGCTGAACATGGCATGTATTTGAGAGGTAGGCTTATGCTTTATCCCTGGTAGTGGGTGTGAAAGTGTTTCCTTATGAGAGGTTGCTAAAATCTGAAGGGTTTGGTTTGTTTTTTTAACTATGGGTGGCTTCCCGAATCGCTAGGAGGTTGGTCTGCTTTGCAGCCCGCTTCTGATGCGGCAGAAGTTTATTCCGGTCAGAAGGGGCGTCCCTGGAACACTGTCTAACTGGGTGGCCGTTGCCTTGCAGCGCCAGCGCCCAACCCGGTGATGCCTGCGGCGTGGTTGGGCTGGCGTTCAGTGGCCCCCAGATCCAGAGTGCCACCGTTCTGTTGGACCAGGACGTCGCTGACGAGAGGACGGCAGAAGCCGCCATGCAGCGTCTCAAAGCAGCAAACATCCCCGAGCGCAACACCATTGGCTTCATGTTTGCGTGTATCGGCAGAGGATATCGGCATTATAAAACCAAAAGGAATATGGAAGCAGATGCATTTAGGAAGTTTTTTCCAAATGTTCCCCTCTTTGGCTTTTTTGGACACGGGGAAATAGGATGTGATCGAATAGTTACTGGGAATTTCGTATTAAGAGAATGCAATGACATAAAGGATGACCTGCTTCATGGTTACACTACCGTTATGACTCTTATTCATCTTGGTTCAACTAAAGCAAACCAAGCGTAAATATGTTTTTACTACTTTGGTGAGCTGTTTGTTTCGTTCCAGAAAGCTGAGAAGTTGGGAGGAGCAGACGTCGTGCAGTCAAAGCCCCTTCCAAAACATAAACATCATTTTGGTAATGCTGTCGAATCTTGTAGTTGGCATAGCGTTCAGTATAATAGCTGCGAGAAAGCTTTGCGCTTCGTGTAGTCCCCTGTCCATGTCCGAACTGCAGGTAAATGGTATTGGATGGAATTGTGCAGTTGAAGAAAGCCTCTTTCTTCCAGAACGAGAACGGCTTGCACAAAGGGCAGTTGGAGTCCGAATAGCAACGTGCAGGAAGAAAGAGCACTTTGATGCGCTCTGTCTGTGTACGTTAAACAGCCCAGGAAAACTGCGGATGCATATGAAAATTCTGATGCATAAAATCCACCATTTCCTGGATTTTATTTTGAGAGAGATGCACAGCCTACCCAGACTTGAGTCCTATTTACAGAACTGAATGATTTTTACTAGAAAAAATGAATGAAAATCTTTAGAGGAAAATAGCAAAGTGCTCATTAAATAAAGATGAAAACACATAAAAGTACCTTGCCTTCTATTCTTGGAGAAAAAGCTCCAATTTAAAGAGATGATGTCCAGTTACAGGCTCAACTTGTCTCACCATCTTGAACTGAATTTCACATGTCCTAAATATTTGGTTTAGAATGATGCCTGATACTTTGTGTGTACCAGCAGTGTCAGTCTTTGGCTGTTTAAGTTTACACAACCAAAATGTACTGGTTGCCTTTTCTTTTAGTTTCTCATGTGACGTGATGCTCTCTATTATAAACTTAAATCCAGAGTGCTAGAATTGAAGACTACCTGGTATCTTGAAGTTCCTTTTTTTGCCTTTTATTTGAAATTGTGAGGCACGCAAGATGTGGCTGCGTTCTGTTTGTACGGAGTCTGTAAACAAGACTGGTGCTTTTGCATGTTTTCCCCATGGTTTTACATCAGTCACCTGTTTTGATCGCTGAGGCTGGAATGCAGGATCGCAAAGTTCAAGTAAATAAATTCAGCATAGTCTCAGTATAGCTAATAATATATAATAAGATCAGTTTTGCACCATTTCACCACACTTCTAAATGCCAAATCAGGCAGCTGGCCCGCTTTCAGTGTAGGAAAAAGAAAATACCTTGCTGTCTGTTGCACAACAAAGTAATGATGTTTTGTTTTAAATCTACCAGCTAAGACTACCATTGGCAACTCTTTGCCCGTATCTAGTTAAAACTTTTCCTGAGCTTGGCCTAATGAGCTGAGGTAGAGGCACATCTGTCCTGGTGTTGACTGTTGGTTTCGGAGGGTGCTGAGCACAGACAGCGCTTTCCTGTGGCAATGTTGGTGGTGGGTTTTTTGATTAGAAGACACAGGATGAACTGTGAACTCCCAGTGGCCTTCTAGGGATAGGAGCCAAGGAAGCGTGGGTGTGACTTGGAAAATGGTTAGTTACTGCATCTGGAAGGAAAGGTATTTGGAAGCGGCATGCTTGAATTTCAAGAGGAGCCTCTCAGCGGGAGGTGGATGTATGTTTTTTATACCATAACCGGAATGTCATGTTTGGCCCTTTCTGTCTGCGTAAGCTGTGTGTCTGACAGGAGGCAAAGGAAGTGTTTCATTCCTGTAGCTGTTAGTGTGAGCTGCGGCTCATCAGCATCTCTGCTAGCGAGAGCCCATGGACTTGGTAACTACTTGCAGTAGATGTGCAGTCAACCATGTGTCCTGAACAGCAGTGCGAATGTGCCCAGGAGCTTCCGAAGCAGCAGACGACGAGCTCCAGCCGTGGCGCAGCAGAACAGGGAGTGAGAGTGGCTGGAAGGGGCTGATGGTCAGCGAGATCAGTAGCTGCCCTCTCCTGCAGCCGGGGGCACTTCAGAGGTAAACACAGCACAGAAACGATGCTGGGGCGGGAATCCCTGGAGCCTGCAGCCGAGCCCGGGATCGTCTCCAGTCTCGGGGTGTGGGAATGAGTGCAGGGCACCCCAGAACCACGCACTGCGTGGCTGGAACCACTACGCTGCCCCTCCAAGAGCACATCCCATCTCCCAGGGGACACTGATAAAATTGCAACGTCTGCGATTAAAGCGTTTTGCTATCCAAATTCATTTTGCCTTCACACTGTCATTTGCTCTTCAGCCACGACAACTCCTGGGTGAAATCAAAATACGTTTGCCTAAAAGGTGCACGTACCAAAAGGCAGTGCGATAATTCATACCTGTCACTCAAAAAATAACCGGTTTTAAAGTGGACAAAGTTAGTTAAATGAATATTCAGCAATTAAGGGAAAGGTGAATAGCGGGACTGCTCTAAAGATAATTATCTGCAGTTACAGTGCTGATGGTACGATGTTTCCAGCAAGAGAATATAATCCCTGAGCAACCACAACTGCAATTTGGTTGTGTTAAGAAAGAAAGAAAACCTTCAAAGTCGCAAGACCTGCAGGGAGGAGCAATGGTTTTGCTGAGAAAAGGTAAAAGACATTCTTTTTCCCCGTGTTTTGAAGATGAATAATGTTTTGTTGTATATTTTTTCTTAATGCATCTTTCAGTTAAGTGAACTGGAGGCTTCAAAAGTACAAAAAAATAATAGGCAAGCGGTGTGAAGTATAAGCCCATACTTGCACAACCAAAACAGCAATTACCAAACACAAAACTGTTCCTACAATTTTTATTTTAAAACTACTAATCCAAAAATCCCCTTATTACAGGACGTTTCTGTAACAGTTGTAAGAAAGTGAGAATATTTGCTAGTGAAGAGCCAAGTTATGCTAAATTGTCACCACTGTACTGCCAGAAAGCAATTTCAGTTAAAAACTGCAGAAAGCTGCAAAGATAGTGCACTTGGGCCTTGTTACTCTCTGTGTCAGGTTTGTTTTGGCCCGAGTTAAATTGGAACAAGGCGGTTTCAACAGACGACTGAGTCATTCTGAATCATGCCCCCTTGGCAGGGAACAGTAAACCGAGATACGGAAATGAAGCAGCCAAACTTTGACTTCCAGCGTGCAGCAGAGAAGGCTGATAAGAATGTTAAACCTCAGACTGGATTTTGAAAAGACGAGTGGTTACGTATGATTCTTAATGAATTGTTAGTTAAAAGCCTACCTCAAACTTACTTGGTGTCATTACCCCCTCTTAGTTTATTTTTGTCTTTCTGAAAGTGGAGAACTACTTTCTACTAGGAGTAACTCTGTAGTGGTGTTTGTTAGCTTTCACAGAAGAGTGAGTCAATAACTTTGGTATTGACCTAGGTTTTCTGAACCCCCGGTGTCTGGCCAAATACAAAAAAACATTTGCCGTTCAGATGCCTACTTCTGTTTTACTCAGTGGAATGATACAGGGAAAAAAAGTTGGAGGTCTGGAAGTTAGCATAGTTAGAAGTTACAAAGATAGTAAACATGTAAATTTAAATGGTCTTTTATGTTACAATCTCTGAGCACTCTGCAAACATTAAGAAATCATTATTTTTCCCGGTCTCTTATTATTTTTCATGATTATATTGTGAGGAAGATTTTGTATTTTTACTGTAGGAGTCTGTAGTGGATCTCTAAAATACATTCTTAATACGGCAGTTGTGTTTTGCACACACAAAAGCAGTGAGATGAACATCAGACTGTAATTATCAAATCTCCACTGGAAATTTTCCCTGTCCCTGAGCCCGTTTCTCAGCCAGATGCAGGTGCCCGCAGCGGCCATCGTTTGGGATGGGCTCTGGGGTTGCCGTGCGGGTGCTCTGCCTGGGAGCGTGTTCCCTGAGCTCCACGCTCAGCCGTGTGCAGCCAGGCGAACTGAGCTCGCTGCTGGGTTGGCGGGCCTTCAGGTCGGAGTTCAGACATCGCAGGACCCTTGTGCTGATCATTTTATGCCTGCCAGCACTTCACAACAGCGCAGGGTGCTTTTCTAAACAGACGACATAGAGCCACAGTGAAAAACTCGAAACTTTGTTTTCAAAGGAAAGGCACAAGATAGGTCTGGATTATTTGGAAATTATATTACCTGGATACCTATGTTAGAATTATTAGGAGAGAAATAGCTAACTGGAATTTTTTTCCAAGTGCTTTGATAATTTAGGAGAAAAAATTTTATTCCCAAATTGATGGGATTTGTGCTTGTAAATGCTTTTTAAAAAACAATGTATAAATTGCCATCGTTACATTTCACAGCTAGAACCTCATGCAGATTAGCAGGTAGCACAAACTTCTCAAAATAAATGTTTCAGAGTGATTCACATCACTGAATCAGTGGCAGTCATGTCACTTTTTCCAGATAAATTTTCACAGCTACAAGAGTTAGAAACAGCTTTTTTTAAAAGAAGCTCGTTTTAGCTGAGCTGTCAGTGTGGCAACAGCGAGAGCAAACACCAGTCCCCTCAAAATAGGAACTCTTCTAGAATCTCCAGAGCTGCTGAAAACTATTGAATAGCTTGAACCAGCAGCGAATTCTGTGATGGAGGATGTACAACCTGGATTTGAATTAGAGAGCCCTGTTAAAAAATGCCACCATTGGCTGCTCAGCTGCATTTTTACAGCCCATCATTTGCCTATACAAAAGTTGTGGTTACAGTATCATTACTGACATTGAGAGGGTAACTGGAAAAGAGTCTTTTAATGTATGCTGAAAAAGAGTGTTCAGCTGTTACACAGACTGATGTAGAGGTGCATTTAGAAGTGGTAGAAATTGGTTTTGGTTTTAATTTGGGGGATGGAAACAGGAGTATCTTCATGTTATTTCAGGTCCCACAACTGCAGGCTTTGTCACACGCCCTTAGCTAGCTACAGAAGGAATTTCTGGGGAAAGGCTTTGTGCAGTATCCATCCCAAACAGAACTGAGTGCCAGCATGCCTGTTGGTATCTCTCAAATTCTGTATTTGGTGCTTTGCTATCAAGAAATTGCTCTCTCACATTACCTACGAATTGTGTTGAACAGGTTACAGTCACAAGAAAAGGAAGAACAGGCTTTGGATAAGCACAAGCAGCGAATGTCACAGT